TTATATTAACAAAATGTTATGGCACCATGGCTCCTAAGATTTGTTATGTAAAATATATGCAATTAATCGACTTGCACAAGAAAGAGTGTGTGTTTAGTACTGTACTTAAGAAGCTGATTAAAAAGGGAGTTGAATGTATGTCCTTTCTGTCATTTGTGCCTGATAAAGCATGTAGATAATGTAGATATATAAGGTATTTAACCTTTTTGAGTTTTAAAGTAAAGTACTAATATACTTGACACTGATCATGTCTCTGATTTGTCATATTTATTATTAAATTGCTTGGATTTCTTTTCAGTGATGTTTTTTCAAGGAATACATACACCAAAGAGCACTGTAAATGGTGATGTACTGATATGAACTCATACCACAACTTGTATGCAGTACATGCTCACAGTACTCGGCTCAATAAAGAAGCTATGCTATTATTATTATTATTATTATTATTGCCATTTATATAGTGCCAACAGATTCTGTAGTGCTTTACAATATTATGAGAGGGGGTATTTAACTATAAATAGGACAATTACAAAGAACTTACAGAAACGAGAGGTTGGAGAGGACCCTGCTCAAACGAGCTTACATTCTATAGGAGGTGGGGTGTAAAACACAATAGGACAGGAATTTGCAATCAAATAAGATGGGCTGCCCTTTAGGAGAGAGCAAGAGACAGGTATGTGAGGTAGAGGTTAGTCTGGGAGGCCATAAGCTTTCCTAAAGAGATGGGTTTTAAGGCACTTCTTAAAAGATGCAAGACTAGGGGAGAGTCTGATGGCCGTAGGCAGGCTATTCCATAGGAAGGCAGCTCCCGCGAGAAGTCCTGCAAGCGTGAGTCGGCCGTACGGGTGCGAACAACGGACAGGAGGTGGTCACGGGCAGAGCGGAGAGACCGAGAAGGGATATACCTATGGATCTGTGAATAAATATAAGAGGGGCTAGAGTTGTTCAGTGATTTATAGGTGTGAATTAGTACCTTGAATTGACTCCTATAGCATACAGGAAGCCAATGTAAGGCCTGACAGAGGGGTGAGGTGCGAGAGAACCGACTAGAGAGCAAAATCAGTCTGGCAGCAGCATTCATTATGTACTGTAGTGGTGCAGTATGGCTTTTGGGAAGACCAATCAGGAGAGGGTTACAATAATCCATGCAGGAAATTACTAGAGCACGGACAAGCTCCTTGGTAGCATCTTGCGTAAGAAAAGGGCGGATGAGGGCTACGTTTTTAAGATGGAATCTACAGCATTTGGCAACATACTGGATGTGAGGCTCAAAGGTGAGGCCAGAATCAAGTATGATGCCAAGACTGATGACGCTTGCAAGGATGGACTGATGTGGGTACCACAAACTTGAAGTGTGAGCGAAAGAGGAGGATCAGTATTAAGAGGAGGAAAGACAAGGAGCTCAGTTTTGGAGAGATTCAGTTTCAGAAAGGGGGAGGACATCCAGTCAGAGATGGAAGAAAGGCAAGCAGTGACACGTTGCAGGATGGCAGGAGAGATATATCTGGGTGTCATCAGCATACAGGTGATAGTGGAATCCAAAATAGGTAATAAGTTTGCCAAGAAAGACAGTATAAAGAGAAAATAGAAGGGGACCAAGGACAGAGCCTTGAGGGACTCCAACCGAGACAGGACGAAGGGAGGAGGTGTCATGTTTAAGGTCAGCAGGGACAATGCCAGAAAAGAGAGAGCAGTTGAAGATGTGCGTTAAGGAAGACAAGTGGAGAGAGAGCTAATAAGGTGAGATGGGACAGGACCGAGCGGGCAAGTGGTGGGGCGAGAGTAAGAGAGAAGAGCAGCCACCTCTTGGTCAGTAGTCAGGGAGAACATCTGAAGGGTTGTAAAGGCATGATCTATATGAAAGAGAACGGCAAGGAGGGGGAAATTCTTTCCTTAGCTGTTCAACCTTGTCGGTAAAGTAGCATGCAAAGCTATCGGCAGTAAGGTTAGTTTGGGGGGTGGCCACAGCAGGGTGAAGAAGAGAATTAAAGGTGTTAAAGAGACGCCTGGGATTACGGTAGCATGAACTAATGAGAAAGGAAAATTAGGACTGTTTGGCGAGGGCAAGGGCTGCGCTGTATGAACACAATATGAATCTATAATGGTTAAAGTCTGACTGGGTGCAAGACTTCCTCCAGGAGCGTTCAGCAGAGCGGGAGCATCTTTGCAGGTAGAGTGTTGATTTAGTATGCCACGGTTGGGGGTGGGTCCTCCTCAAGGTGCTTGTTTGGAGTGGGGCTGCAGCGTTCAAGGCAGAGGTGAGGGTAGTGTTATATGCGGAGATGGCCAGTGAAGGACAGGAGAAGGAAGGGATGGATAGCGGTTGTGAATCTATCAGCTGACAGCTGCTGGAGATCAAGAGAATTAAGGTCCCTCCTGAGTTGAGGGGGGTTATGCTGAGGTTGTTGGGTGAGGGGGTACACAAGAGAAAACTATAAGAGATGGTGATCAGAGAGAGGAAATGGAGTGTTGCAGATATTAGATACTGTACATGCATAAAAGAAGATAAAGTCAAGGGTATTGCCAGCTACATGGGTGGGAGAAGTAGCCCACTGTGATAGCCCGAGGGAGGAAGTAATTGAAAGTAGTTTAGAGGCTGCAGAGGTCAAAGGTGGGTTAATGGGAATATTGAAGTCCCAGAGAATTAGGGATGGAATATTAGAAGAGAGGAAATAGGGTAGCCAGGCAGCAAAGTGGTCAAGGAAGAGAAGAGGGGGACGATAAATAACAGCAATGTTTGCATAGAAGGGTTTGAAAAGCCGAATTGAATGTATTTCAAATGATGGGAAAGAGAGGGAAGGGGGGGTGGATAGAGGTTTAACCCCTTAAGGACACATGACATGTGTGACATGTCATGATTCCCTTTTATTCCAGAAGTTTGGTCCTTAAGGGGTTAAAGGAGCAGTGAGGGGAGAGGCGAAACCCTACACCACCATCTTTACATTCAGAGTTTCTTGGGTTGTGGGTAAGTTGAAGACCACCAAAGGACAAAGATGCAGGGGTAGCAGTGTCAAAGGGGGAGAGACATGTTTCTGTTAAGGCTAGTAAATCTTTTGAACGAGAGATGAAGTCATGGACAGCAGTGGATTTAGTAATATTACAAACAGAGCGTGCATTTCAGAGGGCAGTATTGAAGGAGGATTTAGAGGAACATGAGATGGGTATGAGATTAGTGTGGATCGTTGGGTTAGTATGTGGTGAGTTTCCTGAGATGGGACCGGGGTTTGGAGAGACATCACCAGCTGCTAGGAGCAGAAGGATAGAAAGGAAGTGAAGGTAGGATTTGAAGGCTTTGTAGGAGGGTATGTATATAGAGGATTTGGGAGGAGTTGGTGGAGATAGGCTAGAAAGGTATATGTAGAGTGCATGGGATGAATAGAGAGGGGAGGGAAGTAAAGTGGAAGTAATGAAGATGGTGTTGCCAGGGACAGGTGAACAGAAGGATATAGATATTTTAGTAATGAGAGAAGTTAGTGTGAAAGTGAAAAATAGAAGGGAGAACATTAGAGAAAATGTGTATAATATATATATATATATATATATATATATATATATATATATATATATACACACACACACACACACACCCCACCCCCCCACCATCATGGAAAAAGCATCTTCATTTATTAAAAAAAAAATAATAACAAACAAAATAAGCATCAAATCTAATACAAGGAAAAACAAAGAAGCAATGAGCAAATGTACACAGGTGCCATTTTCACAATTTAATAAAGTACAAGAATGTTAAAATGCTTAAAAGCAGGTAGAGGGGTAGATTATGCTGCACTGATTCACCATTAGGATGAATATATTCAGGTCAAATCTTACTAGTCTCTAGTCATTGCTGTAATTTTACTCATCAGCATGTTATCTGTCATTTTATGAGCCATCCTGTCCTTCCTCCAAATTATAGCCAAGTCACACCTAACCCATAAAACAATTCTAGCAGCTATAAAATCCTCCACAGGATTAGAGAGCAAGTATGACCTTGGATCTATGGGACTGGGTGGCCCAAAACAGCATTGAATAATCATGGTTTTATTCGCTAAAACAGTTAACGTTCGGGCATTGCCACCACTTATGAAGCCAATTACCTGGTTGGTAACACATTGCAATAGAGATCTGTATTTGTCATCCTCACGTTATATAGGATGATTGGAATGGTAAACCATCTCATTAATAATTTGTAACATTACTCCTTTAATAGTACATATATTGAAGCCTTGGAAGAAGTCTCCCAAATATCCTTCCAGTCAGTACTCTCTAACAGCTTGAGGACTCAGAGTAGTTACACAGACCATAACACACAATGACTGGTCCCAACAGACATGGGCCATGCCAGAATTTGAGAACTTTGGGCTACGTAGTAGTAGTAGTAGTAGTAGTAAGAATAAAAGGAAACTGCAGGACACCCCCTCAACAAATAATCACTATTTAGGAGATAATATTGGTTTTTTTTTATGGGTAAACCTAAAAAAAAGCTTGCAAAAGCTACAGATCTCTTTTCTGCTGCCTTTGCAATCCCTCCCATTTTTCCCCAGCACACATTTTCTATGGGTGTCCAATCACAGACTTTATAATGCAATTCAATGAGAAGTCTTTGCAAGGCAGATGCTCTCAGCAGTTGTTGCCTCTTCAATTTAGCTCTACTGAGCTAAGCAACCAGGAAGTAACAACCAGCACGATTGATAGTCCAGAGGGTGCAACATGTTTAAGGGAACACTCCCGGCACCATAACAACCTAATCTAAATTAAGTTGTTATGGTGCCAGGAGGGCCCCTGATGCACTCTTACCTCAAGGGGTTAAACCTTTCTTGAAAAGCTTAACCTCAGCATGGATCTCAATCTCAATTTGCCCTAGGCGGCATTCAGCTTCTAAAATGTTACAGGAGCAACAAGGTGCCGCTGGGCAAGAGTGCCTCTCAGCCAGTGACTCCCCATTCACAAAACTGGAACCTTACAGGTGCCTCATCTCAGGACCCTATTTAGGCCTTGTACTGCAGAGAACTCGAGATGGAAGGATTTCCCCAAGTGAGTAGCTCATTTAGCAGACAGAGTAGGACCTGCCAAAGATGGGGTACATTGGCGTTGTGGCAGGCTTATGCAATGTATGATCATATAATGGCAGGTCCTACTCTGTCTGCTAAATGAGCTACTCACTTGGGGAAATCCTTCCATCTCGAGTTCTCTGCAGTACAAGGCCTAAATAGGGTCCTGAGATGAGGCAACTGTAACAGGGATGGGTGCAAAACCAAGGAGATGGCTAGACTCCTAAATATATACATATAGGAGAAAACAGGGGTTTGGCTGCACTCACCTAAACATGCTTAAATGGGGTGCTGCTCGGAGCCTATTTAAGCCTTGTACTGCAGAGAAATCGAGATGGAAGGATTTCCCCGAGTAGGACCTGCCAAAGATGGGGTATATTGACGTTGTGGCAGGCTTATGCAATGTATGATCATATAATGTAACTAAACCCCCATTATGTTTTGCCTAGATTAGGTGTTTTTAATAAAACTAACAACATTGTTTAGCACTAAAATAACTGTTTAGTAGATAAGTGAGTGGGCTGGATTTTAATTTTTACTGTACGTATTGGCTCCCAGCAGCACCCCATTTAAGTATGTTTAGGTGAGTGCAGCCAAACCCTTGTTTTCTCCCATAAATTATTTTTTATTCTGAAATGTAAGAAAATAGAAATTTTACTTACCGTAAATTCTTTTTTTCCTTAAAATAGTGGCAGTACCAGTGGGTTTGTATCCTCTTGATGGACAAGCCAACTGTCAAATAATTTAAGTAGTCTCTTCCCCTTTAAAACCTGGACTTACCCCAGGACAGTCAGTAAATGAAAAGAAAAAAGACACAATAGGCCACATCATGCTCAATATAAATTTATTATCAAAAAAGGGAAGGAATCGTAATGCCACTATATTAAGGAAAAAAGGATTAACGGTAAGTAAAATGTCTGGATTTCCTGGCATGTAGTGGTAGTACCAGTGGGATTTAACAAGATCCCTGGAACATTAAAAGGGTGGGTCTCAGCAAACTACAGCTTGCAGCACCTGGCGCCCAAAAGCAGCCTCAGAGGACGAGAAGAGGTCTAGCCAATTGTGCTTGATAAAGGTATTAAAAAAGAGGCCGATTTTGCAGTTTTGTCGAGGTCTTCAGGAGAGACGTTGTATTTTTCAGCCAATGAAGTGGACATGGCTCTGGTTGAGCGGGCTTTAATGAGGGAAGGTAATTTAACATTGGGCAATTCATAAACCAACTAGATGGTGTCCGTTAACCACCTCGCCAGAGTGGGTTTAGATGCTGCCATACCCTTCTTTTTTCCCTGAAAATTAATAAACAGGTGATCGGAGGACCTAATTTCTTCTGAACGAGATAAGTAAATCAGAAGTGCTATGCGAACATCCGGGTTATGCCACTTCCGTTCTTGATCCGAACTTCCCGAACTTTAGAATGATGGAACTACCAAAGGTTCATTAAGAGATTTTCTTGAAATAACTTTTGATAAAAAAGAAGGCTTAATATGCAGCACACCCTTGTCCTGATGGAAAATCGTGAATTCCAATGAAGAGGAAAGGGCTTGGATAAGGGTCGGACTGGCCCACTGGGATACCGGGAAATTTCCTGGTGGGCCGCGGCACCTGGGGGCTGCAGAGCTCTTACTCCATATAGAGAGGGAGCCCTGCAGCTATTTTTAAGAATATTGCGGCCACTGGCCGCATGTCGGTGGCGCTGGGTGGCCGGTCCGGCGCACACTCTGAAGGAGTTTCTTACCTTGCGGCCGGCGGCCCCATATCCTGTGCTGTATGACTGCTGTCAGTATCAGTGAGTGTGTCGGGCGGCACACTCACTGATACTGACAGCAGCATAGCTGTCAGCACAGGAGGACTGAGGGAGGGGGCAGAGCTAACTACCATGCTCCCTCGTGGTTCCCACAATTCCCAGCACACTGATTACTCTATGATGTGGCTGTGCTGGGAATTATGGGAACCGTGACAAGGTCAGCAGACAGCAGGGACACAGAAACAGAGGGGAAGGGGGGAGGACAAATAGAGGGGTAATAGAGACACAGGGGATGGGGTTACAAAGAGAGGGGTAATAGAGAGACACAGGGGAGGGGGGGGTTAGAGGGGGTAATAGAGACACAGGGTGGGGTTACAAAGAGAGGGTAATAGAGACAAGAGGGGGAAAGAGGACAAGAGAGGGAGTATGAACACAGGGAAAGGGGACAAAAAGAGACACAGGAAGGGGGACAAAGAGGGTAATAGAAACACAGGGGAAGGGACAAAAGAGAGGGTAATAGAGACACAGGGAAGAGGACAAAGAGACAGAGGAGTAATAGAGACACATAAGGAAGGGGACAAGAGAGGGTAATAGAGACACAGGGAGACAAAGGAGGGGTTAATAGAGAGACACCGGGGAAGGGGTGGACACAGAGACAGATGGGGTAATAGAGAGACAAAGAGAGGGGTAATAGAGAGACACCGGGGAAGGGGTGGACACAGAGACAGATGGGGTAATAGAGAGACACCAGGGAAGGGGGGACAATGAGACAGAGGGGTAATAGAGAGACACAGGGGATGGGGGGGAAAAGAAACAGAGGGGTAATAAAGACAGGGGAAGGGGGAGAAAGAGAGAGGGGGTAAGAGAGAGACACAGGGAGGAGATGGGAAAAGAGACACATGGAGGAGAGGGGGAGAGGGACACATGGAGGAGAGGGGAGAAAGAGACACACAGAAGGTTTGTTGGGGGGACAAAGAGACATACAGAAGGGAAGGGGAACAAAGTGACACACAAGATTTGTGGGAGACAACGCTGGGCTGGGGGAAAAAGAGACACAGAGTGGCTGGGAGAAGAGAAAGAGGCACACAGAGTCTGGAGTTAGAAAGAGACACGCAGATGAGATTTGGAAGGGGAGAAAGAGACATAGGCGCTGGGGCTAAGACATACACAAAAGGGGCTGGGGGAAAGAGACATACAGATGCTGGAGAAGGGTAAAAAGAAACACACAGGGGCTGGGATGAAGTAAAAGATACACAAGGGTCGCTGTAAGAGAAAAAAGGAGACAATTAAAGACAAGATACACTAAACGAGGTAAACGTAATAGACGTAATTGATGTGATACTGACAGTAATACACATATATATATGCATGTATATTGATGTGTGTATAAGTAACATATATAATACCGATAATATTTACACAAATATTAATATACATTTATATATACATAATACACACATAAATGTCATTAATATATACATATATGTAATGAGCACGTATTGGCCCAGTCTTGTTGCTAGTTGCATACTCATGCACAATAACATATTCAAAGTGAAGAGCGCACCCATAGGACTTCAAAATGAACACAATAACTTCATTTTTTTTCAGTTGTGCAAACGCATACATTCACCATTTCAGTCCCATTACTAAAATGTCCTTAATAGGCCAAAGTAGTTGTACTGAAACATTGATTACATGCAAATGTACGTCTGTTTAAAATAAAGGCGTTCTTTTGTTTATTTTGAAGCCCTGTATGCGTTCTTTCGTTGGACTTGTTCCATTAGTGATGCTGAACGATTCTGATGTGAAGCCTGCCGTGACCACCTGCGCCGATGGCTCACTGTACAAAGCCCCGACCGCCGAGCAGAAGGCCCCCGGCATCCCGAATTTACCGAGAACCGCGTCCAGAAATCTCCAGCTCAGGCGGTCAAAGGCCTTCTCCGCGTCTAACAAGAGTGTTACGCATTCTGTATGCTGTCAGTGGACACTATGTATAATGTCTATGACTTTTCTCGTGTTGTCCCCCCCTTGTCTTCCTTTTACAAATCTGACCTGGTCATTTTTGATTAGTTGTGGGAGGATGTTTCCCAACCTGATGGCGTATAGTTTTGCGAAGAGTTTTGTGTCTGTGTTTAGTAATGAAATCGTGCGGAAATTTTGTGGGTGAGTGGGTGGTTTGCCCAGTTTAGGCAACGTGATGATATGGGCTTTTAAGGCCTCTGGAGGAAGTGTTTGCTTTGTGACAGCGTCGTTAAAGGCGTTTGTGAGGTGGGGGGCGAGGATTCATTGGAAATGTCTGTAGTAGCAATTGGCAAACCCGTCTGGGCCCGGGGCCTTATCCGTGAGCAGAGAGTCAATCGCTCTCAGCACCTCTGCCTCTGTGATCAGAGCGGATAGGCTGTCTTGCTGGGTGGAGGTAAGTTTGGGCAGAGCGATTTTGTCTACGTAGGAAGCTATTTTGGCCACTTGGGGTTGGGGTGTGTTTGGGTCAACCCTGAGGTTGTATAACGATTCTTAGTATTTGGTGAATGCGTTGCTAATGTCTTTGGGTGCCACTATTTTCTGTCCATTTGGAGATATCATGTACGCTATTTTTTGGGCCGCTTGTTGTGTCCTCAGTCTTTGTGTTGCAGTCTACCTGCCTTATTTCCCTGTGTGTAGTTTTGTGCCTTGAGTTTTTTCAGGTGGTAGCCTACCTGTTCTAGGGACATCTGGTGTATTAGCCTTGTGAGTTTTATGATTTGTTCCCGCAGTTCATGTGTGGGAGTAATTTGGTTTTGTGTCATAGCTCGCTGAAGGTCTGTTTGAAATGTACGAAGCTGCAGTTGGGATTTCCGTTTTAGGTATGATGCTCGTCTTATCAGTTGTCCCCGTATCATGGATTTGTGGGCCTGCTACAGGGTACTGCGGCTCGTTTCTGCTCTATCATTGTCTTGGAAATAGTGCACTATTTCCTGGTTTAGGTCTGCAGCGAAAGTGCTATCTCTCAGTAGTGTTGCGTTTATTTGCCATGGACTTCTATGGGTCGGGTCGTTGAGGTTTTTAAGCGTCAGCTCCACCGGGGCATGGTCGGACCACGTAATCTGTCCTATCTCACACCGGGTCATCTGGTCTACCCCTGCCCCTGAGATAAGAAAGCCGTCAATGCAGGAGTAAGTGTTGTGTACTGTGGAAAAGAATGTGTAGCCTCTTTCTCCTACGTGGGTGGCTCTCCATAGGTCATACAGGTGGTAGCTATGTAAGAGCTTACGTATCGCCCTACTTTGTTTACGAAGAGGCGCGGTGCGTGTTTTGGCCGGGGCTAACGTCGTGTCTATAGAGGGGTCAAACACGTGGTTGAAGTCTCCACATATGATTGTTGTTCCTTGTTGTATTGACTGTAGTTTCAGTATGAGTTTG